CACAGCAGGGACCCATTCTCAGCTGGGAACACTAATGCCACTGAAGGCTGATCACGAAATTACAAATAAAGACAATTTTTTCCCCTATTATCCTGGAAGAGAGTCTTCTCTGGTTGGGGCTACGCTATTAATGACCATCTTAAAATCTAAGACAGCATTTGCAGCAGGGAAGTATTTAAGGTGGAGACCACAGATGTGTCTGGGCACTGCTGCCAGGAAATTTCTGTCCATGCAGCTGCTCCATCCCATGGGAGAGGAGGGTTAGGGGCAGCCAGGGAGGCTGAGCAATGTTTTGGCAAATTTTGAGGAAGCCGTGGGCACATGCGAGAGGAAATCAATACAAGTTTCAGAGGTAATTTGGCAGCATCTGAAGAGCTGAGTTTTTGAGCCCTTCTGGGGTTGTTGAATGAGATCTTTCCCTTTAAGTGAGCAGGGCAAGGATAACTTACAGGATTGGGATATTTTCTGCAAATTTCTGTGGATTGAACAGCATGGTGGGGACCTCAGGCTTTAATCATTGCTGATCCTCTGCTCTCCAACACATGGATTTGATAGAGGAATTGGAGGAGTTTTTGCACAAAAGCTGTGGCTGCCCCATCCCTGCCAATGTCCAAGGCCTGGCTGGACAGGGCTTGGAGCAACCTGGGATAGTGAAATGTGTCCTTCCCCGCACAAGATGGGTGAGCTTTAAGGTTCCTCCCAACCCAAACCATTCCAGGATTCTCTGAAATATCTTCAAAGTTTAACTCCATTGAAGTTGGAGGATTCTCATCAGGGTCTGTGTATTTACTGCCATTACATCAATTATGGGTCTGAACTCTGAAAGCACTTATTCTTGCTGTCAAATGCCAACAGTGGCCATGGCTTCACTTGGCAGCACTAAATTCTCATTGGGATCACAGTGTTTAATGGCTGTACTCAATGATCTTGGAGGCTTTTCCAAGCTTAATGACTCTACGGTTCCATGTTAGCATTAAATATTCGATGTACTTGGATTCAGAAGACAGTGCATAGGTTTAAAATTTAAAAAAATTTAGATGGTGTTCTTTAGTTGTGTAACTTTTAAGTAAACAGAGCTGTAGAAATATCTGCAAGCTTTGATTTTAATTTAATGTATAATAGCTTACATCATAATAAATGATGTTGTGTGATTTGGATGTAATTTTGAATTTGTCAGGAAGCTCGCAGCCAAATTGTTGAAGTTAATAGTAGTTCTGCAATCAACTTCACTGTGTGTCAAATCAGAGGAGCCATTATTGAATTTTAAAAGGCTAAATTACTGTGTTGTTTGTATTAAATCTTAATGCCGTTTCGGATAACAGGAACACTTTCCCTTGGAGATATGTGCAGGATAGGGTTTCTGTTTCTGGATAGAGAAATCAAACATGGTTTCAGTGAAATCGCTTCAATTCCAATCTTAAAGGATTTAGGTATATCCAAAAGTAATTTCAAACCTATCCTAAAGGAAGGAATAAATTCCCCGGGTCAGATTTAGTGTTGGAGTACAGTGCTTTTTATGAATTAGGAGAACTTAGTAGTGCACTGCAATGATGGTGATTAGGGAAATTAATGTACTGAGGTGGCTTATCATTCAGAGGAGGGAAAAAATACATTTGCATTTCTTTAGGGATGGATAAGGAAGATGAGCTGCCCTGTACTTGCTTGCTTTGAGGCAGTCTTGCTTCCCCTGACTGGTGCTGGGTCCCTGGAAAGGAAAGGCTGTGACAGCCCAAGGTGAAAAAGGTCAACACTTGTACCAGGGAAGGGATAGGGAAATGGGACTCATTTGCTCATATTTCTGTCCCAGCTTTGCTAAATCAGCTTGGGCAAGTGGCTGTCATAAATCCACTATCTCCACCCACCTCAAGCCCAAAATTGTGTTTTCAAATGGTGGAAAAGGTTTTGGGCTGGGCTACTTTCTGTTGGGTTGGTTTGTTTTTAAGTTCTATGAGATGTTTGAAGAAACCAGAGCTCTTCTGGAACCTTCTCTTCTCCAGCATGATCACCCCAGCTGTCTGTCTCCAGAACAGAGGTGCTCCAGCCCTTGGGGCTTTTTTGTGTCATCTTCTGGATATGCTCCAGTAAGTTCATGTCATTCCGACGCTGAGGGTCCACAGAGCTGGATGCACTATTGTGTGAGGGCATGCTCACGATTTCCTGGTAGGTTTTTCTGCTGCCTGGTAGGTTTTTCTTTTTCCCCTCTATAATTTTTGTCTATCTGTGTGGTCCCCCAGCCCAGCAAAGCCTCTCACGTGCAGGAGAGCACTGGCCCGTGGCATCCCTGCTCTGCTGGGAGAGCTTTCCCATCTCCCTCAGGCAGTGCATGGCAGCAATAGATATAATGAACTCATTTGGATAATTTAGTACTTGCTTAGTGTATCTGGTTTCTCCAGTGACACTCTGACGTTCATGCTTGACTTCCCCACCTCTCAGATAATAAATGAAAGAGGTTTCACCTTGTTGGCAGCACTGGCATTGGGCCCATTATCTTTCCTGACATTGTGTACTCGAGAAATTAAATTACCTGGTTTCCTGGCTACCTCCCTAATGAATGCCATTAATTAATAAGCTTTTCAAAGGAGGAGGTGTATTTATTCTTAATCCAAGGGAGAATCTCTTTCCTGGCCTGCCTGTGAGCAGAGTGCTGAGGTGGGAGCAGGTCGGTCAGTTTGCAGGAGTCCTGCCCACATGGGTGCTCCCTAAACACGCCCTTTGGCTCATAACTTGGTTTATAGTGTTGTTTTTTGGGGTTTTTTCTTGCTGGAAGATCTAATCCCAGGAGCATGTAGGTTAATGAAAAGAGTGATTAACTCTGCAGGGGGTAGATCAGTGCAGCAAAGATGTGCTGATCATGATGCAGTGAGAAGAGGGATGGAAATGCAGCCTGGTCCATCGGTAGGACTTACCAGGAAAGT